CTTCTAGTTTATGATATGTGTTTATACATACCCTTATTTTGCTACCGGTACCGGTACTTTCATTCACAAAACACCGAACCAATGAGATTTTTACACCTATTTCGGACCGTGAGACACCCCTCGGATCAACCACTATGCTTACGAATGTACCTACAAGGATTTCCATATTTGCCAATCACTGATCAATGAATCTTATGTATTCGCATCCCAAGAATTGCGACTGTTTTTGTATGATTAATAGGTGATTTCCATCTTTTCTGGGGATTCCTATATCATTCCCAATTGATTATCTGATTTCCTACAATCATTCGATTCCCAGCTGATTTTATTAAGAAAACGATGTCTAATTGTTAAGCTTTGCATTGATATGACCAATATAAACGTTTTTTTCTTTCATGAAAGCACGTTTTTGCTGAAAAATTGGCAACTTCTGTATTTGCAACCCTTCCAAAAGTTAGCAACTTTTATTTTCATGGTTGTCCACACTTACACCAAGACTGGCCAGTCTTGGTCTTGGTCTCGAAAAATAAATGCGGTCTTGGTATTGGTCTTGGTCTTGATGTTTCAAGACCAAGACAAGACTGGCTCAGTCTTGTTCTTGGTCTTGGTCTTGATAGTCTTGAAAAAAATTCATACCAAATTTTTAAAATACACATAACATCCAACGACAGAGCAGAGATAATGGGTTTAGGACTTCAAAAATGAAAAATAAACCTCCTTTTCTGCATTTGGTCTTCTTCTATTTTTACCACCAAGAGCGTATCATGCAGTGTTGCCAGAATTGAAGGATTTCCTTCAATATGAAGGGTTTTGATCTAAAATTTTGACTACTGAAGGATTGAAGGTTTTTATCCGAATTTGAAGGATTTTGAGGCAAATTGTATATTTAGCCAATTTCCCAATCATTTCATCAACAAATTTAATTTTTATTAAAATAAATTAATTAGTTGCATGAGAAAAAATACGAAACGCCAATTTCCACTACGTCACTGGGTCAGAATTTATAGGTCTGTTTCTGGCGTTTCTGCAGAAATCACAAACCAGTCACAGTGAATTTCATTGGTTGAAACTAGTTTTCTGACTGTTTCTGACTGTTTTCAACCAATGAAATTAGCTCTGACTGGTTTGTGATTTCTGCAGAAACAAACCTTATGATAAATGCCTCATTCTCACTTGCGCGAAATTCGCTTTTTTTTGATATTCCTTCGACAATTTGACGTTTTATGCGTGTATCAAACGTCAAATTTTCGAAGCAATGTCAAAAAAGAGCGAATTTCGCGCAAGTGAGAAAATTAAGCTTAAGGCTATGAGTATTTTGTTTGTTTTGTTTTTTTTTAAATTGTTTTAACAGAATTTCGTTCATGTCATAGTATTTTTTTTGGTAGAATATATCGTTGTGCTGCCCCCCCCCCCTCCCCCGCGCCACTGTTTTGAAGGATATGAAGGGTTTTAGCCACTTGGTTGAAGGAATGTCGTCGAAAAACTCTGGCAACACTGGTATCATGTCAAAAAAATACTGCATAAAGCATTCCACAACACAGAGGAACAAACAAACATCAATTCTTAAATTATAATTTTTATTAACGGAACAGGAAAGTCGACAAACACATCATGAAATTTCCATTCTGTACCGAGGAACCATACATTAAACCTACCTTACCTACCTAAGCATTCAGGCCAGAGAAAGGTTTTCGAAAACCTTCACATATTCACATGCCTCATTTGAATTTTATTGGCCTATTCACAATAATTAGATTTGGGTTAGTTTGGGTGAGATGTGGGGTCTGTGTTAGTTTGGGTTAGTTAGTTCGTTAAGAATTATCTTTGGAAATTCTAATAATTAGGTATTGTATTATGTAGGGATAGGAAAATATCGATGTGTTCTGTGTAAATGAATGTTACCTACACTATGTTGTACAATACGTATGTTTTTTTTCAAGACCAAGACCAAGACGAGAGTCTTGGTCTTGGTCTTGAACGTCAAGTCTTGGTCTTGGTCTTGAGAAGATTTATCAGGTCTTGGTCTTGCTACCAAGACCAAGACAAGACCAAGACTAGTCTTGTGGTCTCGCGAAGCCCTAATCTTTAGTTAGGGTTTCACCCGACAAACTTATTTCTGATTCAGATGTCCTATCATCTTGGTTTCGTCTCTGTTTCTCGTCCTGCCTATAGTATTTATTCTACTTTCCCTTTTGAAGTTCTTATTACCTTGGATTTCCGTCTTTTTCTTTTATGTCTTTCTCAGGGACATTCCCATAGCTCTTAATATTCGATCGACAAACGTCACTGCTTCTCTGAAAAGAACCAAATTAAAATTGAGCCCTGAATAATCTCTTAATTGTAGCGATTCGCCATTGCTAACCAATGATGTGTGAAGAAATTCTGTGTCTTCTTTTGGCAAGTCGAATTCGAGAGAGGTTTCAAAATTCATGTTTTCATTTTTATGATCTAGGTACAACAATGTCATACTTTACATCTGTTCTCACAGAAATCACAAACCAGGCAGAGCGAATTTCATTGGGATGAAAATAGTCAGAAAACTGTTTGTTGGCGATTTGCACCAATCACAAACGCTCTGACTGGTTCATCTCATTCTTCTTCTTCAAGTTCTAAACTCTTCATAGACTCAGGTTCAGTTATTGGCTCAGTTATTGGGAAACTCGTTGGTATATCAAATTTATTTCAAATTATCTAGCACTGAATGTTGCTTAAAACTTAGTCTTAAAGGCAAATACACAACTGACCGGTTCCGGTACGCTGTATCGTTTAAAATGTATAATATGCGATTTCTGGGTTAGAATGAGATGATATTCCCAGCGATTACCACATGATCCTCAGCGATTGCCAATGGATTCCTATGTGATTCCCATAGGGTCTTAAGAGATTCTTAGCGATTTTCAGGTTATTCCCAGGAACTACCAAGTGATTTCCATGTATTCCTGATTGATTACTTTGTGATTTCCATAAAAATATACAATGATTTCTACTAGTGGTTTACCCCTTGAATGGCAGCAATCTTCAAGTTATCTGGAAACACTCCAAAAGTAAAAGAGTTGTTAATTATATATGACAATTGTTCCAGAACTTCATTTGGTGTTACCGGTCTCAAAAAATTGAACGGACATTGTTATTTATATTGCAAGAAAAAAGGACATCTCGTAAGCTATCCCCTCGACCTGGATTCCTGACAAATTCGAATTTTTTTCCGTTATTTCTTTACAAATTGTCCACATATGTACATTTAGTCTTATTATCTGACTTTCTTATAGCTTAGGTGTAACAGAGAATACTGATTGGTCTGTACTTAGTCACATTATTTTTGCGCCCTGATTTATGGATAGGACAAACGTATGACAATTTGCAGACTTTTGGAAACACTCCAGAGGTAAGGGACTTCGAAAATATGTAATGAAGGGGGAGATACAGGGAGTGAGAGCAAAGCTTTAACACGATGTTTGGGATTCCATCAGGGCCCTCTTTCTTATTAATGAGCGATTTTTCAATGTCAAATGCAGTAATCTGAATATCTGAAATTGACTGAAAGGTGTGTGTGGAAAAAACACTTTCGTTAGATGTAACTGTAGGGTTATAAACTGAAGAGAAAAATTGAGCAAAGAGGTTGGCTATGTCACAACCATATCAGCCTTATTCGAGCCAAAACACATTTCTTTAGGATTGGAACCTTGATTTGACTGCGAACGAACAAAGCTCCAAAAGGATCTGGAGTTTTCCTTGATAGAATCTTCAGTGTTTGCTATGTAGAGACTGTAGCATTCCTTAGACAGGGATGAACATTTTCCACGTAACAAAAAAAATGTGTTGTTATCCACAGCCGTATTTGACTGCTTGTACCTTTTGTAAGCTTTTTTGTGGAAGATTCGGGACTTTAATTCACTTAAAAACCAAATAGAAAATCTGTCGTTAGTCTGCCGGGTAGTCTCTACACCATCATGACGACTTTTTGTACCATTAATGGCGTTTGCATCAGTTCGGTAAACAGTGTATGACGAATCCACAAACTCGGAGTCATTGACAGAGGAATTCAAACAGGTCTTAGTGAATGCAATGACAGAATATGATACAAGAAGTGCAGCGCCGAGCACTTCATTTTTAGGCCTGTGACGTTTTGATAGAAGTTTGATACACATTCTTCTGATGCACTTCTTCTACCGAATCATGTTGATATTCTACTAAATTTGTTACTGTGGACCTTCCCTTCACAAATCTATCTGTGCAACTGATAGATTATTCCTGAAGTGAAAAGTCGTTTTATATGGTACCAACAAACAGTCAGAAATGTTTGGCAAAAGAAAATGTTTTACTGATAGGCCTATAACTTGACAAATCAGCTCGATCCTCTGACTTAAATATGGAGGTTACATAGCACATTTTCCGTTTGGTAAGAAAAATGCCAACGGACAGCGATAAAGTAAACAGAGAACAGATTTTCTCAGAAAGGAAAAATATTCTTTGTTTTTAAAAAGGGGACTGTTATGTCAGGTGCCCAACCCTAGAATATTATTTAATTCATCCATTTTATCAAAAACTTCCACGACTGCTGAACAAATAGTTCCAAAATCTCTGTAGGATTGTCAGTTTTCACATCTTTGTAGAACAAATATTTTGGTAGCGGTAGCTCCTTATCTCTCTTTGAATTGACAAATTCCCAGAATTCTTTGGTGGATGTTCGGTTACTTTCTAAGTCATAAATATATTCTGTTATGCTTGTAACATCAATTTACACTTTGACCTAATATTGGAGAAGGTTCTATAATCACTCAATTCATTACTTCCATATTTTTGTCAAGAAATTGACCCATCATTTAAATAGTAGGTATCTATTGTATTTCCTTCTGGAATTTCGACTTCAACAAATAGTTGAAGTGGGGTATATTTTTTTTATAAGTGGCACATCTACGCCTTCGTACAACTCTTTCTCAATTTTTATACCCGTGACTTTACTTTATACACAAAATAAAATCCACCTTATTTATATTTAGCAGCAAGAAGAACAATTCAATGTTATTCATATTGAAGAATCCTCAACATACGAAAATGGCCTAATTAACGTAGATACAGATAATATTAAGGTAAAAAATATATATATTTAGGTTTTTAGACAATAATTTTGTAATCAATTAATTTACAGATAGAAGAATTCGTAGATGACCTCGTAAAATACCCACCTCAAGACCCACCAATATCCTCAAAAAAATCGAAAAAACAACCCAAAGTCCATGAGTGCAGCACTTGCAAAAAAGTTTTCAAAACCAAATCTAGCCTGGTGCATCATGTTAGGATCCATACAGGAGAAAGGCCCTATCACTGCCATATTTGTCAAAAAAGGTACAATTAATCCTAAACAAGATATTTCGCTTTAGTTAATAAATTTTCTTTTAGGTTCATGAATGGTGGCCATTTACATACTCACATGAAAACTCACACAGGAGAAAAGAACCATGTTTGTGCTGTTTGTAATAAAGGCTTTGCGACCGCTCAACAATTAACTAAGCATACCATAGCTATACATACATCGGAGAGGCCTTATGGATGTACTTATTGTCCAAAAAGGTAAATATAATATTTTTAATTAAGTAGTTTTGAAAATTGCATTTTTTTAAGATTTGCAAGTTCGAGTAATTTAAACACTCACTTAAAAGTCCATACGGGTGAGAAAAATTACCATTGCGAAGTGTGCGGGAAAACTTTTTGCACCAGAGGCCAATTGAAGCAGCATTTGATGGTGCACACGGGCCTTAAGTCATTTCTGTGCGAGTTTTGCAACAAAAAGTTTTCGCAAAAAGCACATTTAGTGAGACATGCCAAAGTACATAAGCGACATGAGAATTGTAATCCTAACTGTAACATGTTGAAGCAAGAACATTCATAAAATTATAGTTTTTTGTACAAGGATGTGCCTGTCCCTGATATCATCTATGGCACACTGTTCAGTTCAAGAAGGGGTCGTATTTTCGAATTCATTCGAGTACATTTCGTATACGAAATTTGATTGACAGCAATGTAAATTAAATGGAGAGTATTTGAAATCGAATCAAATTTGGTATGCGAGAATATTCGGAAATACGACCACAGTGTGAACTATATTTTCTGTGGAGCTGTGTAGTTTGTAATCTAGAAAAACTCAAAACAAGTGAAATAAAAACCAATCGAAAAGTATCGAGTTTTTTTATGACAACAGAAAACTTGTTCCCATATAAAAATCTAGTTTTTCCAGTATGTAGTAATATACCCAGTGCATGAAATATTTCCGGAAATTTTTGAAAATTTTGTCTGTAGCCAATTTTTTAACAAAATCATGAGTGCATAGCGCCTGGAAAAATCCTGAACCCGAAGGGTGAGGGATTTTTTCTTTGGCGCTATGCACGAATGGTTTTGTTTAAAAAAATTGACTAAAGACGAAATTTTAAAAAAATTCCCTTAGGAAATATTTTATGCACGTGTTATATTTTGATAGGAAATTTCCCGAGTTTGAAATTTATACGTTGTGTCGAATATTTTAATAATGGTGATGTGTTCTATGATTGTGATTGTTATTGATCTTCCCCATTTAAATTGCGTTTGTCAAAAAATATACACTTTGACAGATTTCTAAAATAACATTGGCATTTAATCTAAGTATCGTCATTCAACAGTTCAGTTCAAAATGGTTCATGTTTATTCACTTGAAAAATATGTTAATTTGTTAATATGAGGTAAAAAACACACAGCTTTGACAAGCTATTTCTATTTCGACAGGGTTGATAGTAGCAATTTGAAACATTGGAGATATAATCTTAATAAAAATAGCTAACAAATAACGCATCACTCGACCCCCCTTTCCATTTGAACTTTTGGGGGGTACCTGGTACCTGTCACCCCCGCTTAGGGGTTCACAGGTGAGGGGTGAAAATATCAATAAATAAAGTCCCTCAAAAACAAAAAGTGATGTTTCCTAGCGATTTTTGATTTATCACCTGACACCTGAGAAAACCTGGGTGGGAAGTTTTTCGTGCCGCACCCTGTATATCTTTGACTTTTGAATTAAATTTTAGTTTGATTTTATATTACAGTTACACATGTTACCTGTTTCTTGAAAGTCGATTTCTATGGAAAACAAATAATTCCAGTTATTAACCTCTTATCATTATAATGAACCGCCCAAAGATTTTTTCAGTGGTGGCTGGCAGGCTAATATTACGGAACTATAGCACTACCTTATTTTTCTGTGAAAATCTTATATATTTTATCCTACAAAAGTATCGAATACTCGATTGTGTGGTTTTGAAGACTTTTGGGCGTGGCACCTCAAAAAAAATTTCCGCGAATGGCGGACATACCAGGTTTGCCCCCCCCCCCAGAACCTCAGGCTGGATACGCCACTGTCAGGCAACCTGAAACTACTGAATTTTTCTGCTTTTCGCGTTTATTTGTGGTGGGTAGCTTTAAAAAATGTTGATTTAGTTTAGACCTTTTACGCAAACGTGCATGCTTTAAGTTTGGTGCCTATATATGTATATGTACGAGGGTATTTTAAAAAGTACTTGTTTGATGGGCCTTTTAAAATAATACAAAAAATATTGGCAAAAAATTAACGCAACAAAAAACAGAAACTATTCTAATTAACATATTACACAGTGAAATTACCTTTGTGTTGATTAGAAAAAAATACGGTTCTAGAACGGTCCAAAACAATCCCACAGTTCTTAGACCAGCTTATTATTGGAATTTTTGATAGCCAATCCGTGGTCATTTTGTTGATAGAAAAACTGTGCGATTATTTTGAACCGTCCTTTTCCAAACCAAAACAAAGCTAATATCTACTTTCATTATTGCACTATTTCGGGAAGTATTTTCTTCACCATCGGCGTTCTCGGCTTCAACATTTTCAACATCTTCAACATAATCCAAAACAGTGGCGTAGCCAGGATTTTGTCTTGGGGGGGGACAAATTTGCAGGAAGCGTCTCTTGCGGTCCTACCGCGACCGCTGCTGGAGGCAAAGCACCGCATGCGCGAAATTTTTGGGTGCGACGCCCCTTTTTCAGGTTTCTTTACGCTATTTTTGGGACTGTTTATCTTAATTTTGAAGAAATATTCATAAAATTTAAGGGTCTTGGGGGGGGGCAAATGCCCCCTTACCCCCCCCCCCCCCCTGGCTACGCCAGTGATCCAAAACCATAGTGCTAGGGTATTTACTCGGGTATTTAGTATGAAGCTTTTTTACTCTTTTGAATTTCTATGTAGCAATTGCTTTTGCATTTTGTGGTTCTTGATTGTTGGTAACGTGACTTCTTATATACTCTTCTCGATTTATATGGGTGTAACCAAAGAATGTAACCGAGCCACTGAGGTACAAAGTTTTGCATTAAGGTGAGAAGGACTTTAGAAATAATTAGAATGGCCAAACATTACCCTGAGAAAACTGTCGGAAATTTTTTGACGGATTTTGAATAAAAGGCATATTAAATCTTGTTTGGATATGTTCCTCATTTTTCCATACAGGGTGTCCTTAGATAAACTGACACATTTTGCAGGTAAATATTTCGAAAACGGGAAAAGATAACGAGATGCGGTTTGTTCTGGGAGAATAAGGATTTTTTAAAGTTTTTTTTCACACTATGGCCAAATCCTAAAATTTGTTGAAATTTGGTTCTACAGACATGCGATTTTTTGAAATAAAATGACTGCCTTATTTTTAATGAAACACCCTGTATATTTTGTCATCGTCAGAAAGCCTGATTTTTCTGCTTTACAAAAATGTATAATTTTTTTTTCAATTATCTTGAACTTGCATCGTGAAAATTGCACTTTGTCGAAGAAAATACCATCGACTAATCAACAAAAAATTGAGAATTAATTTGTGTTAAATACTTTTATTAACTAATTAGCGCATAGTTCTAATAATAAAACTAATATTACAAGTATTAAAAACAAATAAGTGCATATAAAACACAAATAATTAATTATTATCATTTTTTTTAGCCAGTCGATGGTACACTCCTCAACAAGGTGCATGTACATCTTTAAATTACATGCATGCTTCCAAAGGTGGTTTGATAGAAATATTTAAAGATTTTTTGCATTTAAATGAGAAAAAATTCATAATTCCATTTCTGAGCTTGATATCCATTCGCGGTTTTTTCTGTTTGATAAAACGACACTACTTAATAAATCCTGAAAGTTTGAAAACCCTTTGATTGCTTGAAGTATTTTTCAGAATCTTCCAAAAGTAGTTTGATAGAAATATTTAAAGATTTTTTGCATTTAAATGAGAAAAAATTCATAATTCCATTTCTGAACTTGATATCCATTCGCAGTTTGTTTTGTTTGATAAAAAGACACTACTCAATAGATCTTGAAAGTTTGAAGCTCTTTGATTGCTTGAAGTATTTTTCAGAAGCTTCCAAAAGTAGTTTGATAGAAATATTTAAAGATTTTTTGCATTTAAATGAGAAAAAATTCATAATTCCATTTCTGAACTTGATATCCATTCGCAGTTTGTTTTGTTTGATAAAAAGACACTACTCAATAGATCCTGAAAGTTTGAAGCTCTTTGATTGCTTGAAGTATTTTTCAGAAGCTTCCAAAAGTAGTTTGATAGAAATATTTAAAGATTTTTTGCATTTAAATGAGAAAAAATTCATAATTCCATTTCTGAGCTTGATATCCATTCGCAGTTTGTTTTGTTTGATAAAAAGACACTACTCAATAAATCCTGAAAGTTTGAAGCTCTTTGATTGCTTGAAGTATTTTTCAGAAGCTTCCAAAAGTAGTTTGATAGAAATATTTAAAGATTTTTTGCATTTAAATGAGAAAAAATTCATAATTCCATTTCTGAGCTTGATATCCATTCGCGGTTTGTTCTGTTTGATAAAAAGACATTACTCAATAAATCCCGAAAGTTTGAAGTCCCTCTAATTATTTGAAGTATTTCTTTTTGGCCAATTGATGGTCCTACCCTTTTTAACAAAGTGCAATTTTTGAGATGTAATTTAAAGATAATTGAAAAAAGTTATACATTTTTGTAAAGAAGAAAAGTCAGGCTTTTTGACGACGATAAAATATACCGGGTGTTTCATCAAGAATAAGGCAGTATGTAATTATTTCAAAAAATCGAATGTCTGTAAAACCAAATTTCAGAATTCGTTAATAACATGAAAAAAAACTTTAAAAAATCCTTGTTCTTCCAGCACAAACTGCATCCCATTATCTTTTCTCGTTTTCGAGATGTTCACCTGTAAAATGTATCAGTTTATCTAAGGACACCCTGTATAACATGACAGCTAAGCAGTAGTTCATGTGCAAATCTCTAAACTAAACTTTTGTTAATGATGTTAGATCCCTAAGTTCTTCATCGGTGAAGTTTTCTTCATCGATCATTTTACAGGGAAGGTTATCGGCTTTTTCTCTTAAACTCGAAAGAAGAAATACCTGCTCTCGAACTTTTAAAGTTATAGGGCGAGTAATCGACTGCAGTCCATTATGTAGCTGCAGGAGCAAAAGTCCATCAGCATTAAGATGCTCCTGGCATACCCTGGAATTTTCTGGGACGTATATACCTCTTTTGATGAATATATTTACTCTTGATTCCTGATTGATTCTGTTAAATTGTTCTCTGTGACAAACAATGCACAGTACTGTGTCGAAATAAAACCTTCAGAATAGTGGGGTCGGGATCTTCTTGGAGCGTGATTATTTCTTCATTGATGCTTCGAATACATCCCTCACAGAACCTGAAATAGTTATTTTCTAACTAGTGTGGAAAGTGGTAGTTTTCTGCGCGCGATGGCAGTTACACGAACGACGCAGGGCGAAGTTTGCGGGCAATCCGACAAGGACGGAAATGACACTTTACGCAAAAGTTAGGTATAATTTTTTTCCTACAAATGATTTAAACTTTTATTTTCTTTAAAAATAAGTTCTTAATAAACATAGGTACATTTTTAAAAAAATCGTGCAGAAAAGTAAAAAATCGTGCGGAAAAGCTACTTTCTCTACAACATGCATAAAAAGTGACATTTTGCGATTTGTTTTGACAACGCAAAGTTAAACTTTTTTGATTACCAATCGACAAAAACTTTGTTGCTTGTCGTCATGGGAGACAAGCGACAAAGTTTGCCGATTGATTGCAGGTTGAAATTCACCTCTGAAATGGTGGAAAAATTACTATATTTTAGTTTATTGACATTTAATTTTTTTCAGTTATAGTTTTTCCAATTTTAATGGAAAATCATTTCAATATTGTAGAAAAAATCTCATGTGTAATTCGAGCGCAAAGTATCTAATATTGTCACTCTCGCGCAGAGCGGCAGTGTATCACTTTGCGCTCCTAATACACAAATAGCAATTTCAGCACTATTTAATTCGTGCGGAAAAGTACTACTTTCCACACGATTTAACGTTCAATAATCGTCGTGGCCTTACGGCCTTACCCAGGATAGAAGTTGTTTATTAGTCTACTATATAATGGAGTGAAAAGGCTTTTTTGTTAGACAGCCCTTTAAAAGTTGAAGTTCGCAAGCGCAGAAGGCTGGGAAGAAGGAACTGCGATCTCCAACTAGAACTCTATGTATGAATTACGAGTAAACTATATGCATTTTTTCTCTACTGTCGTTTTTAAAATAAACACAAATAGAAGTATGACAAACTACCTACATACCTTGAGTTCTCAACAATAAGATTTTCATCCTCAAATTCCAACTCGTTTCGTCGCTTTACAGCCAATCTACAAACTTCGGCATCTTCCCGGAATGAAACAGTGCGATTAACTCTTAGCCCCTCATCACACACGTAGCACATATACCTTGCCCGAAATGCCATTTTCAAAAGAAAGGTGACAAAAAAAGACAATTCGCTTTATTGACAGGATCACTGTTTTTGTTTCCATGGTAACCAAGTAAAATATGACATATGAAAAAACAATTTTCTTTGCTTTTGTTTCCATGGCTGTTTAGATTTTTCAAACACCAAGTCACGCATCTCCTTATTTGTAATTTGTATACCTAATACCCATACACTCAGACTAGAGGTGGTAAACTATTGAAGAATATAACTTTCGATATATCGATAGTGAGGAATAAAAACTATCAATGTATCGATATAACTATCGATAAAAAAAAGGTATGCGTTTTGGACCCATTTTGTATTTGGGGTTTCAGCAATTAGCAAATCAGTGCAAGCCAAAATGTCAATGTTAATGAACTCCAACAGTAGTGTGCACATGAACGTCTGAGATGAAGGCCCTAACCCTACGGCCTACGTCCTACAATACAAACACAACGAGACCTAGAGAAAAAAAATACCCAAATGACAATTAATATTGTGAATAACAGTAAGTATGTTTAATTAAACACGTTCTTTTTTCTCCAAACTGGAAGTTAAGAACAGACATAAACACCACTATGAAGTGAAATACAGTGTAGTTGGGTTGTGTAGGTTGTTGTTGTTGTTGTTAACTGATGATAACAGGAAACAACTAATCCTCATCTTTCTAAATTTTGATTTCAACTACCATACCATCAAAACCTTGGATCAAAACCAAAATAAAAAACATTAAGGTTGTTTGAGAGATCGTAGGTAGGTTTCCTGATAACTTTTATGGCGTCATCTGGGGTGCCTCAACATAATTCCAAATCTCTATAAGGCACCTCAGATCAGATGACGTCATCAAGCTACCCATTATCAGACAACCTATTAACTTTAAGAGCCATAATAAAAGATGAAATGTGGCCGAGTTCGTATTTGTCATCTTTTCGTCGATTTGCTCCGAAATTTTGATGGGCACGTGATTTGTAAATCGAAACTGTCTTATCCAGTCACGTGCCTGTCAAAATTTCAGAGCAAATTGACGAAAAAGATGACAAAAACGAACTCAGCCCGTATGATATTTCTTGACACTTGACATTGCTGACATAAAAAAAGACAGGAGAACTGCTATCGATTGTCCAAGTAGAACTATCGATAGTTCGATAGTGTAGCAAACTATCGATATATCGATAATTACTATCGATAGTTTCCCACCTCTAACTCAGACCCTATCATGAGGCAAAAAACTTTTATTACGAGCGGAGAGATAGGAATAAGTCACTTTTATCACAAAACGTAGGTACTTACAAGTATACAATTTTTCACACTTTTGAACATTTTTGGTCATTTATTGACTCACCTTAGTAATAGCCCTAGTTTTTGAGCGTCCCTGGTAAGTAAAAGAAGAATTACGAATACCTATTAAACATTTTTAGTCAAGGAAAGATAAAATAAACAACGTTAAAAGCAATAAATGCAAGCTTCTTTGCTTTATGTACACTTTATATAGGTACTTGGGTTGCCCAAGGTAGTATTAGAAAAACCCCCGTAAATCCGAAACTAGTCATAGGATCAGTTTGTACCCATGAGAACTTTCACTCAGGAGGTCAAAATATACAACATACCAAAATTTGGTTGAATTCCGCGTTCAACCAAAATCCCATAAGAAGTGTGCGGGGTCCTTTCTTGTATGTTTGCCCCAACATTTTTGTCAGACAATTACATTTTTTATTTAAGAATATAATTTACTGGTAACCTTCTACTTTTGTCGGAAAAATATTTGTAAAAAAAGGGATACCTGAACCCAGTATAGTTAAGAAATATCGATTACCAATAAAAATTACATTTTTTGTCCGACTGTCGATATGCCCCAATATTTTTGTCCGACACTTAGATTTTTTGATTTAGAATATAATTACTTAGACCCTCCTATTTTTGTCGGAAAAATGGTTGTAAATAAAATTGTTGCATGAAATTGACATCTTTGGCGCATCCGACTGCGCATATGCCCCGTGAAAATTGTCCGACAAGGTTACCAAGTTATTGTAATAGTATATTACAATCCGAGACGGGAAATGCTTCATTACTGATCGAGAGGTTATATAGTTAAATCGACAACTTCGTGACAGCTTGACAAACGCCCCACTACCATAATGCGCTGAGCTCAAAATTTGTCTGACTCTACCCAAATAGCAAATACAAAAAGTTTCGAGAGTGTGGTCATAAATAATAAATTTAGATCTGGACCCAAGGACTATAAATGTTTCTTCAATTAAAAAAAAAAAAAAATCAGATTTTACACAAAACACAAGAAGTTTGGCCGTTTTTGTTCTACTCGGAAGAAAAAGCCGTCCATTCGGCAACAATGAGGAAAAATTAATAGGTTTGTTCGGACTTTAGTTCAAAATCAGTTCTGAATTGAACTGCGCTTGCGCATTTGGTCATATCAAAGATATATAAACAAATGCGCAAGCGTATTGTTCGTCGATTTTTAACTGATACTTGCGGTATGAGGAGCGAGGGGGTGTTTCATATGGCAAAAACAGGTGTGACGTCAGGTAACCATTGGCGTTCTAATGTAGGGAGCCACCAGGGGGCGGATTACGAACTCTCGATTCGAACCGAAACCGCCATGGATTTCGAACGCACTCCATGTGAATGCATAGGAATGCGTTCGAAATCTATGGCGGTTTCGGTTCGAATCGAGAGTTCGTAATCCGCCCCCTGCTTATATTCCGTCCGAGTATCAGATTAAAATCGACGAACAATAGTTCAATTCAGAACTGATTTTGAACTGAAGTCCGAACAAACCTAATATTGAAAATATTGACATTGGGAGAACTATTTTGAAAGCTGATTTGATTACAGAAACCTTTATTAAAAATAGTTCGGATCGCATCCACCGCGCCGTGACGGCGTATTGTTCCCCAAAATTTTATTAGGCAGTTTGCCTTCTATCCGTAAGGATATGTATTCTGTGTTCTTAGCTGACAAAAAGTTTAATTTTTTAAGATTTTCTCTTGTATTTTTAGCCTATTGTTTATACATAAAAAACAAAACGAAATCGTAGTTTTCATATTAAAGCAGTAGCAGAGCAAGTGGTCCTTCGAAGCAATCGTTTTAACAAAATTTTTCCAACAGTATCTCTCGACAATAATGAAACACTTTCCACCTCCGCATGTAATATACTATTGTTTGACATGTGTAAACATTTACTTGTGTCGCCACCAATAAATAAATAAATAAATTATGACCTAAATACATACTATAAATGGCTATATTCAAATCAATTAACAAAAAAATAGGCATAGTGGCAATTAAAAAATTTAATATCAACTAATGTGAAGCTGAAACTGCACTTTTTTTTGTAGTTATTATGAGTACGAAAGCAAAAGTCACTGTTTCTGGACACTTTTGAATTTTCTGAAAAAATCTCACACTACTATTCTTGTTTTTCAACTTCTGTGCTATCTCACAAATTTCATTTGGTGTTACGCGAACATTAAATCCATATTATTATCGCCAATAATAGAGGTTCAAACTACTTAGCAAATTTGGCAAAACCGAGACTAAAAAATCGTTATACTTATTAGCAATGATTTCAGGCTCCACTTTAATTTCCAGATCAGTCCCTATGTCGATGTTAATTTCTGAACACATAAACTGAGGTGGCCTTGAACCTAAAAATGTCAGTCAAGTATTAGTAAATGGAAAATAAAATAATTAATCATACCATACTTGATAATAACGATGTGTTCTTTTTAGCTTCAGCCGTTCTATTCTTGTTTCAGAGCTATACAATTCCAAGTATGTTCATTTGTTTAGACTAATTGCTTCAAACTTTTCCCTGATTTGTAGACCTTATGCAATATGCAGGCATCTTTTTGCGTGTAACACTGTGTTTGAAAGTCACACATGTTACACTGGAAAACAACAATGCTAGTAAGCCCGTTTCGTATTTCATGATCCATTTTCAAAAGACCAAGAGCGCAATATTTGCTGTGTTCGAATTGTAGCTCCATGCAAGTTTGCATCACATATTCTAAATCAACAATTCTGTTTCCCTTGGTAAATGCTGAGTCTGGTCGTGGTATTCGTTCTATCTCATTGGCGTGTTCATTGACTCTGTAAATGATATAATATTGAGGATAGATTTATTACTGTTGAGAAGTTTATAGTCAAATGGATCATTTGAGAAAAAAAAATCAAAACTGTCCCCAGGGTTTGTTTAGTAAAGTCTGTTTTTTTTATTAAGGATAAAAATCAAAATGACATTATGTTGTTTGATATAAATTTTACACATTAATTTTTAGATGTGTTAAAAATCTGCAACATACACCATAAACAGTATTTGAATTAAAGGTACTTTAGCGCTTAAAATTGCCAATCATTATGACACTTCAGTTTTAAAATAGCTTTTGGATTAAAGCACAGAAAATTAAAGTGCCTTCAAAAAGACGGTTAGTGATGCCGCGAGACTCGAGACTGGTTTCGTCTCGTCTCGACTTTTCGAGACGAGACTGGCTTTTAGTCTCGTCTCGTGAAGTCTCGACGAGACGAGACCAGACTCGGCGAGACTCTCGTATAGTCTCGAGTCTCGAGATTACTCTTAAAATTTTTCTTTCATAGCCTTATTATTGGACTATTCTGGGCTATTTGAATAAAAAATCAGTAAACCAAATATCACGGTTACTCTTTACTGTGATTTTTCACTAATTACTTTTTCACTGTGGCAGTTTGGACTTCCGTTGTAATATAAAAATAAAAACCATAAATACAGGGTGTCCGAAAAATAGCGTAAAAGCTCTCCACGTAATAGGGGATCCTTTGAGAAACCCTAGAAAAATAATTCAATTAAAAAAATCCTTCTCCAGCATTATTCTTGATAATATGAAAAGGTAGATGCGAGGGTAGATGTGAAAATTCACCTTCGAATTCTTCAGGTAATTACATGAGTATTGGTATCTACTTCGTTTTGAAGTAAATACTACGTAGAACATACTAATACTTGTAGTAGTAGCAAGTACTTCGTTTTTATTCATACCACCCATTGTCAACGGGATATTTTCAGTGTTGGCAATTTTAATAAATATTAAAATGCAAATAACTTTCTTAAGAATGCCACTAGATTTTTCTGGGGTTCCTTGTAGGTTCCTCCACCACGTAGAGTAGAGTTTTTACGCTATTTTTTGGACACCCTGTATAACTCGAGACCACTCGAGACGAGACGAGACTTTGGTACTCGAAGACCGAGTCTAAGTCACGGTCTCGTCTCGAGATGTCGAGACGAGACGAGACCAACCTTAAGTCTCGTCTAGTCTCGTCTCGCGGCACCACTAAAGACGGTATGAAACCGATTTTCAATGGATAATCTACTCCTATAAAAAATGAGGCGCTCTCCTTGCTGATTGGTAAGTAGATCACCTGCTGAAGATCCAAACACACCACATAATGCTGTATTGTCAGTCATCGACATTTCTTTAAATTCTTTCTTTATTCTCTTACCTTGGATTTTTCCTCAATGAGTTTTTCAAAGACTTCTTTCATTTCTTGTTTTACTTTCTCATCTCCTCTAAACGTTAAGCATAGCGAACACTGGTCTTTCTTTGGATGATAAAATGAAAGATTTTTTGATTTTAAAATTTTCCTGAATGTTGTGACACAGGGTTTCTTTTGGATATCTCGTAACATCAAATCTTCACGGAACATGTCGTACATCTTTTGTAATGTTAAATCTGGATGAAGATACATGCGAGAGGACTTGTCTCTGCAACAATGTGACTCCATCTTAGGATATTTATCGATATGGTCGCTCATTTCATTTCTCATTTTCTCTTCTTCAATTAAAACTTTTTGAGATCTTTGACGACCGCCTCTTTTTTCTTCCTCCAAGATTCCCATGTCAGATGTTTTATGAAGGGCTGTGAGTACTGGTTTTTCAGAAATTCCCAGAGTGTTCAAGAAAAACTTTTTACATACAGGTAAACGGTTATGGTCTACTGTGAAGCAATATTTTAAAGTACTGGTTCTTCGAGATTTTGTCTTCACCGTTTTTCGGTTGATGTCTTCTTTAGTAACGTGGTGAATTAAAAAGTCCCGTTGTCGGGTTAAGTTGGCTAAACTGTAATAGTCACTAAATAGGCGTTCTCTTTGTTGGTCTTCGATTTCTGAACATTTTTTACCGGTTTTTGAACATTTTCTGGACATGCATCGCTGTTTCATAACCTTCGCAGGAACAATTTTTTTTGTGGAAGGACTGAAGTATTCCTGACCACAGTTTCTCAATCTTTTTGCTTCTTTCTGTTTGTTAACTTTTTTAACTTTCTTTTCAGGATTTTGCTCAACTAGAAAATCCTCAGGACAGGCTGCTTTTTTCAATTTAATGCAATCGTCTTGCTGCAGACTTCTTTCCTGGACGCTCATGTCGGCTTCAGAGGTGATATGAAGAGATTTCACTCCATGACCAAAATGTAAACATTTATCAGTGTCTGCGATAAAATGTTCCCAGCACAAAAGAATGTTGCAAACATGACACGAACTGAAGACTTCTCCTTTACATTTTCTAGCTTCACAAATTCCAAAAGGAGGATCCTGATCTAAGTCATATTCTGGTGAAGTTACTGGCGACTCATCAAGATGATGATTATTTACTTCTAAGAGATTTGTGGTAGAAGACTGCACTAACTCGTTAGTCTTGGTTGTAAGTTGGTGCAAAGGAATGTTGTCGCCTTCAGAATACTCGTTGTTATTGTTCGAACAGACATGGGTCGACTTAACCTTCTGACGAATTTCGCTAAGAGGGATATTGTTAGAATCATCAGATTCAATAATGTCAGTTTCAGAATACCACTTTCTGTGATACAGCATTTTCACGGAACTTCCTTCACGTATAGGTCTTGTAGCTTTAAGTTCACTGGAGTAAACCACATTTTTTGATCCAGCGTTCCACTGTTCGTCCATGATTCTGAAAAGCCAACCTCAATTAGCTTTAAACAAAAATGCTAATAATAAAGAAGTTTTAATTTCTTACTTTGATTTAAGTATATGTTAACAATAAAAAATTGTTGTACCTATAGTTGGTAGACACTGAATTAGTGGGATTATTAATAATTATTGATACACCGCTTACAGCATAAACCAATTTGATGAATCGTTTTTGAGGTAACGCTGCTGTTTAAAACGATACGTCTATGCAGATACGCAAGGAAAAATCACAAACCCTCAAAACAGGAACCAGCGTATCACGTATCTGGGAATAATTTTAGATACGACAATTCGTGATTTGTTTTAAATACATTATGGCAAATACGTTGGTATTGATGTTTCGGGGTTCTCGATAGTGATTCACAATCCAGATATGACCAGGGCCGGCTCTAGGTATTTTGCCGCCCTGGGCAATGAGTAAATTTGCCGCCCCATCCCATGGCCCGCTTAGGGAAAATGTGAGTGATCTTGAATTGTAGAAACAAAAAATAATTACACGAAACAGTAAGGCATAGCATCATAGCAATAAAACCACATACTATATTATGTAACTAAGGTAACCACAAAAAAAAAACTAACATAAGAAAACAAGAAACATACCAAACAAAGAGTCAGCCAATCCAAGCTCTTGGCAACAATGAACAGATACATTATGTAGATATACCCTAATAGCACAGAAACGTTTCTTCAAAAGTATCCAACACCATCCAATAGACTTATTTTATAGGTATTGCAAATATCACAGTTACAAAGAACCTTTTAAAAACGTCTTATTCGAACTAATTTCCGGACGTGTGGACGTGGGATACATGTTTCCAACGGTGTTCCAGAAAACGAATAACAGAAACCTTTATAAAACGTCTCTCATGACTTTTCATGAAAACATACTTTTACGAACTCATAGAAAACATTCTGACGTTCTTTAATTGTTCCTAACAGAGGTTTTGAAAACTTAATCAAACGTCTAAAGAACATCCTTTCTTTACCTTTTTAAAAACACTCGGACATGGACATTACCACGTGCAGACACAGTCGTTTCCAAAAGTTTTCTTTTAGAACTTTATGCTTATGGACGTTTTGTGAATATATTTCGAAGGTCTTTTTTCGTCGTATTTAAAAATGATTTTGTGCAAACGTTTATACAACGTTCTATTTTAGTCCTCGGATGTTTCGACGTTAAACGACTAAAAAAAACGTCCATCGTACCTTTTGTGTCATTATATAGGGTAAGTAGGTAGCTACATTTTCAATAAAATTATTGGGATATTATTTAAGATATTTTCGAGCTTTGAATGCAGCAAAATCTTCATTTTTAATTTAGCATCGATTTCATGCTCAATAGCAATCATTGCTAACATGCTCACTGCTTACTTTTTCTTGGCCGAGATGATCTTGAATACCTTTTTATTAATATCAATTTAGAGAAACTTTCCTTAACACTTGCAAGAGTTATGGGCAATAGTAATAAAATTCTGAGGATCTGAGGGCCACAACAACATTCGGTGTAATATCCAGTTGGAGTGATAATTTTAGCACATCAAAAGGATTTTGATTGGGCTCCAGTGACGTCTATCACAGATAGTTCATCAGCTAATTATGCCACATTGACATCGAAAGAATTGTCATGCATGAGAACATACATATTATAAATTTTTGCAATATTCCAATAACTCTTCTAGATGAAGTTTTTTGTAGTAAATGGATATCTTATAAGAAGTTGAAATGCCCACTTGCTGGTTCAATTGTCCCAAATGACACCTATCCTATAATACAGAATGTTTGGTACATCGATAGGAAGTTTTTAATGATTACTCATTGAAAACTTCCTATCACTAGTTGGGGTCATTTGGGAGCTGTTTGATCATGTTTACCCTAATGCAAAATTTTGTCGTTTTTGAGATATCAGCATTTTTAGATATTTTTGGGAAATATTTGAATTGTTCCCAAAACATATTGTTTTTTTTTTGTTTTTGGAATAACCATTTTAACCTTTCTCAATTTTTTTTCCGATATTCCTGATATGCACTCTTTCGAAAAAATCGGAAAGAAAATCCGAATGATTGATTCAAAAAATATGTAGCCCAAGTTATGTGTTAAAATACATGGATTCAAAATATCTAAAATGGTGATATCTCAAAAAACGGCGAAACTTTGCATGAAGATAAATATGGTCAAACAGCTTCCAAATGACCCCAACTATCACTCATTGAAATCTTCCTATCGATGTTCCAAAAACCCTGTATAAATGGTTGGCTGTTCGATTTATATTTATAATTTTTTTTCAAGTCGTTGGTTTCATTTTCTATTAATTTGTTTTGTTGTTGTATGGTATGAATTTGCCGCCCCTGGATCGTGCCGCCCATCTCGCTCCCCCCTTAAGCCGGCCCTGGATATGACACTTGGTAAGGTGGAAAAGACACATCTTAGATGACCTGGCGAAATTTGTAAAAAATGTTAGCTACGTCACTTCGTGTTTTATGGGATGAAATGTATCAATGGTAGTATACAAATGTTCATTGAAGTATATGAATGTTCATAGAAAGTATACAAATGTTCATAGTAATGTAGGTAAGTAGGTAGTAATGCAGGTACTATCACTTGCACAAACAATTCCGAGAACTGTATTCACGTAGGGCGCTGGGTTTTTCCAGATAAATCCCCAGTGCACTGTCTACTATAAAAAGCGTGTGTAGTATTAAATGGTATTCAGTTTTAATATGATATTTGTCATACACATTTCCATAAGTGACGAGTGAATTTTGTATAAAGTCAATTAGTTTAATAAAAATTGATACTTTCTGTGTTAGTGAGTTTTAGTGAACCCAGAATCCGTGATAGTACGTGCCTAGTAGAAAAAATAATAAACATACCTCAGAGTAAAGCTTCCATTTCTGTGTTGGAAATTTTCACTTCCTCCTTCCTGCTCAACAAATTGTAGCCGATCAGTACCAGGGGTTGACGGAACTTCTTCCCTGGCTTCTTCCTTTATGATAAGGGGGCTGTACTCGAAGTTGTATCTAAACATATTTATTTAATTTTTTCAACTGGAAAGACATTATTAGAACTTTAGTTCGGAAAATAATTTGAGAATAAAACTTGAGCTCCAGGGTGAATGCCAGTCATAACTGTTTTTTTTTTCCTTTATTTAGAATAGAACTTGAACACCATGATGAGCATAAAATAATTTTTTGAACAAATGTGTTTGTATAAATACATTTTTGAACAAACCCCATTAGATTTCAAACTTACTCTTTATCTTCATCTTGAAAATCACTGTTAGTTGAAATTTCCTCTTTTATAATAGGGGTGTCATGATTCAAATCATAATACATGGTTGGAGATTCTCTAGAAAAAAAAATATAAAAAATTAAAACCCTGTATGAAATTTGTTTACATTTTTTTATATTTGAAATTGAAAAGCAAAAGATTTTTCTTCGACCAATTATTATATTATGTCTTGCATTTGACAGAGTGAAGCAGTCATTAATGATTAATGATATTTACATATTTCTTTGTAGATTTTCATATTATCAGCAAAGAATTTAATAGGATTTTACGGTATTTACTTGTATATCATTTATAAATAAGAGAGACCCCAAGGAGGAACCTTGTGGGACTCCCAAAGAGGCTATGTAAGTGTTTTATTGGTAATTTTTCACTAAGACAAATTGGTTTAGATTTGAGAAATGTCCTGATCAGCTGACAAAGGTCTGATGAGATTGAGAAGGATGTAAGTTTTTGAACTAGAATGTTGTGGTCTACCTTGTCAAATGCCTTCGCAAGATCTGTATAAATTGCATTAATTTGGTTACCATCAGTTAAAATGTCTGTGGAATACGTCACAAAATCCAGTAAGTTTCCAGTTGATGATCTATTTTTCCGAAATCCAAACTGGAGATCTGTGCGTGAGTTTATGTGCTACATGATTTATTATTCTTTTATAAAGGATTGAAAAAACATACTAATGCATTCATTGTTATTTTCATGCCTAATTTTGTAAATTGGTGATATACTGGCTGTTTTGAATTGTTTAGGAAATTTCTTGCTGGTGATTGCCAAGATTTTTGCTAAGTGTTGGAAGTACATCTTTGCACTCTTCCAATAGGTATCTCGGTATTTTGTCAGCTAAAACTGATTTACTATTTTTTTTTTTAAATTTAGATATAGCTTCATCAACGTTTTGTACAGTTATCCTGGTAAGAGTAGAAGAATATTCAAAAATTAGGGAATCGGTATATTGTGTCCTTCTTATATTTTGGGGAGGTTGATAGATGGATTCAAAATGTTGAGTGAAAGCATTATTTATCTATGTTGAGACCCCCTGTATATTTCACAAGGGCATCGAATGACTTTATGAAACTCCAAAATTTTTTTGGATCCTGTTGCAAATTTAGCTCAACATTTTGAAGGCATCATCTGCACGCTATACATCTCTTTTTTGATTTTTGTTCTCAGGAACTTAAACCGGTCAAGCATTAAGGCATTTTTTTTTTGTAGAACCTACCTAAGTAATGTAGGTATATTACAAGGGTACTTGGTACTACTCCTTCTACAACGTCTAATAGAATAGAGTGAAAAAATTTCCGAAATGATGGTCATTTTTATTGTATGTACCCAGTACAAAAAATAATAAATATTAACATACCTCAGAGAAAAGCTTCCATTTCTGTGTTGGAAATCTTCACTTTCTCCTTCCTGATCAAGTAGCGGATTAGTGCCAGAAGTTGACGGATTTTCTTCCCCCGCTTCTTCCTTTATGATAATGGATGGGCTGTACCTGAACATGTTTATCAATTTTTAATTGGAAAGATATTAAAACTTTTATTCGAAAAGCATTTATTTTGTTCGAAAAATTTTCTGCGTCCCATTAGATCTGATCTTACTTATGTTTATCTTGAAAATCACTGCCTGTTGATATTTGCTTTTCCGTGAAAAAGTTATCACAGAAATAAGTTTTCATATCTGTTTCGAGATTTAACGGTATGTAATTTATTTACTTATTGAAACTACTAATACAAGTGGATGAACCCTTTTAACAGTTGTGTTAAGTTATGGTCATTTCTCTTGTATGTACCAAGTACAAAAAATAATAAATATTAACATACCTCAGAGGAAAGCTTCCATTTCTGTCTTGAAAATTTTCACTTTTTCCTTCCTGATCTATAAATGGTAGCGGACTAGTGCCAGAAGTTGACGAAACTTCTTCCCTCGCTTCTTCCTTTATGATAAGGGGGCTATACCCAGGGCTGTACCTGAACATGGGTATAAATTTTTAATCGGAAAGACATCATTAAAACTTTTGTTCGAAAAGCGTTTATTTTGTTCGAAAAATTTTCTGCGCTCCATCAGATTCTGATCTTACTTATTATCTTTATATTGAAAGTGTCTGTTGATATTTCCTCCTATGATAAGAAGGGGTATTATAGGAAGAAGTTTTCATATCTGTCTCGAGATTTAACGGTATGTAATTTATTTATTTATTGAAACCACTAATACAGGGGGATGAACCCTTTTACCAGTTGTGTTAAGTGATCGTCATTTCCATTGTATGTACCCAGGTCCCAGTGGAAAAAATAATAAACATTAACATACCTCAAAGGAAAGCTTTCATTCCTGTGTTGAGAACATTCACTTTCCCCTTCTTGCTTGACAAATTGGAGAGGATCAGTGCCAGAAGTTGATGGTACTTCTTCCTCCTCCTCTTCCTCCTTTATGATAAGGAGACTGTCAAGGGGGCTGTACCCGAGCTTGTACCTAAACATATTTAAACTGGAAAAATTTTATTTCGAAAAATTATTTATTTGAAAAAAAATTGTTTGAAAAGCATTTATTTTGTTAGAAAAATAATTTGACAATAGAACTTGAGCAACAGGGTGAGCCTCAACAAATGCTATTCGAATAAATGCTTTCGAACCATTTTTTGCGCCCCATTTTTTCTTACCTATTATCCTTGTTATTATCTTCATCTTGAAAATCACTGCCAGTTAATATTTCCCTAGATATTTCCTCTTTTATGATAGGGGTGTCATGATTCACATCATAACACATAGATTCTCTAAAAAAAAAATTATAAAAATTTAAAAGCCTGCTTGTATAACGTGAAATTGTATGATTTATTCATATGATAACGCCGTTGCTGCTACCATTGTCTTCAAGCGCTGGCAACAACATATATTTGAACAAGAAATCGTTTTGCTGATGGCTGAAAAATTTGACATACTTACAAACAATACATTAAAAAAAAGCAATGCAATAATACAAAAATAAACATTTAATACAAAAACTTTGTAGATACAGCAAATGCGTAACAGACAGAAAATGGAAAGTTTCTAGATCTATGGAATAGGTAAGTGTCATCTTTTATGTAACTTGTCTGTTTACTTTGTTTTTTTTTTTTTAGATTCTTTGAACATAAATAGATACAGCTAAATATTTGTTGAAATCACCTGAAATCTGATGCGAGCCTAGCTCGAGAACTTTTTCCAGCAACAGAATATGGATCCCTCGCATAGGCAGCATAGGTATGGTCTAGAGCGACTGCAGGTCTGCAACAATAACATTGTTCAGTATAAAAAAACGATGTTGTTCACAAGTTACTTTTATACAGGATGTTTCTTTTTTTTGGAGTCGAAACCCGTTGAAAATACAAAAAATCTCTATCTACAGAGATATCGTTTCCAGGCTAGACTTTTTAGGCAGAACATGTTGTCAGAAACAAGGTGGTCAGCTGAAGCGGTTTAAAGATGTGTTACATGAGACCCGAAAAACTTAAAATCTTCATAACAACTGGGAAGAACTCGAGGAAGAACGAGCACGGGACTGCAAGATATGGAAAGGTGTGGTTGCCAACTACACGACAGAAAATAGGCCAGCTTTGCCACATCGGAAAACAGTTTTTGAATGCTTAGACTGTAGCAGAGTCATTGGCTTGTTCAGCCATAGAAGAACTCGTAATTCTGTAATTTTCCAATAGCAGGCAATAGAACCGATGAAGCTATTGTTTAGTCTATGAGGGTTGTTGTTCACTACTATGCACTATAGATCAACAAGATCAAATAGATAGGTGGTAAAGATCAGTGGCCCCAACACTGATCCCTGGAAAACTCCACTATGAACTCGACTATGAACTAAGTGTCTGCTGCCATTTATTAATAGTATTGTTGATCCAACGACTCTCTTATCAATGTCAGCAGTCCACACACTCCAAAATGTTCCAACTTTCCAGATAACAGCTTATGTGGCACTTTAGCAAGGGCTTTCTCATCGTTCAGGAAAATAATGTCGTTTACTGTCCAGTCATTTAAACATTCAAGCAAGTTGGTGTTGAGCGTTAAGAAAAGAAGCCCATGTTAAGAAGATGATGGAATTAAATCATTTTCAAAAAAGAAATTTGTTCTCTCACTATTATTTTTTCCATACATTTCAAAGGGTTACATGTAAGGCTGATGAAGCGGTAATCCTCTGCCTTATGTCTGTCCTCTTTTTTAAACAGTGGTGTGACTATTGACAGTTTCCAAGGGTCTGGCAGTCGTCCTAATTCTATACACTCCTCCATAACCTCTGAAAGTCGTTGACCAATGAAATCACTACAATTTTGTAGCAAAATTGTTGGAAATTTTTTCTGATTCCAGACGAGTTTCTTTTCATGTTTTTCAATGCTTCTTTGACCTTTTTTTTGTGAACTGTAGGTATACTGTCAAGTGAATTATGCAATCGGGTGTGCACAGGAAGTTGCGGAAAGGTACCATTTTGGCTCTGATTGAATGACCTCTCAAACGTCAGCAAACGCAAAACACTTTGCCATGGATTTTGAATTTTAAACTTCATTTGTGGTTATTGAGTATTATTATTTTTCCGTTAAGTGGTTTATGGGAAATAAAACGCTAGATTAATTTCAATATGTCTGTATTCGATACCAGTTTCTCTAAGACTAAATTTTCACATAATTTTTACAGGCAAAATTATACATTTCATAGGGTGACTCACCACTTCTCTTGTTTACAAAAACCCTTCCAGGTACCAGCCAGAAGTCATAAAAGCAGACCCTTTTTCTTTAAATAAGTTTCGACTGATAATACATTTTATTATGTAGATAATGGCATTTGCTTTTTCTCAGGCTTTTAAAACAAATTTAATATTGCCACATATTGCCTTTTGGAACCTGGTTGACTTGTTTTTGTATAATCATAATTCTAACAGTGGTCGGGTCATTGAGAGTGACCGTTGTCACCTTGGAGTTTAACTTCCTGCTTATATACTATTAAATTTTTTTTGGTGATTTTCTGGCCTCATCAAGTTCTTTTTTTAAGAGTATAATTTTCCATCATATAGACCTGGTAGTTTTTTTGTGATTCTCAGAAGATAAAATACTTCACTCTGTTTGATATTCTGTATTGCATAAATTTAGTACCGAATTGAGCTTATATGTACGACCCGAGGTACGACCTTTGTCTCTCTTCCACTCCACTGTTGCTTCTGTTATCAAAGTTTTGCAATCTTGGGAAACGTAGGCCATGACGTACCCATCTTAATAATAGCCAAATTTATAGTCGTGAGTTTAGAATGGACACTTGCTACAATTTGACAAGTTAGTCATGTCAATTCTAAAAGTCCAAGGCTTCCTTAAGGTCTGAGGAAACCTAGAGGAGCGACTATAAATTCGGCCCAAATAATCATACACGTCACCCTATAGATCTCTTTCATGGACACTTGAATTTGTTTTCTACTGAATTGATCCTAGAACGATGACTGCTCCCCATCCTAACAACGGTGCAACAGTCCAGTCCTGGACAGACATATACAGGGTCTCCCAAAAAGATACCGACAAACTTTAAGGGGTAATAGGGGACATCAAAACAAGCATTTTTGTTTATATAAACATATGTCCTCAAATGAGCCATTTGGGCTGTAGAACAAAAAAACTGTTTGATACTTTTATTCTTCGCAAAAATTAAATCACTGTTTACTTATTAATTTTCCTTTATTATCAAATAAATTATGGTTTACAATAATTGTTCAAAATGTTGACCATTTACTTCAATGCAAAGATTACACCGTCGGGTCATTGACTGAAAAGTTTAGTCTACGAACACCTGTTCGTAATGAGGAAGATCTGATAGCAAGGATACTGGCGAGTTGTACCCATGTAGAGGCCATTCTCGGAATATTCCGAAGAGTTCGCGAGTTGAACAATTATTGTAAACCATAATTTATTTGCTATTAAAGCAAAATTAATTAGTAAACAATGATTTAATTATTGTGGAGAATAAAACTAGATACCAAACAGTTTTTTTGCTCTACAGCCCAAATGGCTCATTTGCGGACATATGTTTATATAAACAAAAATGCTTGTTCTGATGTCCCCTACTACCCCTTAAAGTTTGTCGGTATCTTTTTGGGACACCCTGTAGAATTTTTAATACCTATCTGATTAAGCCATAAAGTTGTGGTGCCCAAGAATTCAAGGAGCCAAGGCAAAGGATCCAACATTAGGCTTTTGATGCAGATTCAGTGGCGTATTCAGGGGGGGGGCAAAGGGGGCAATTGCCCCCCCCCAGAGCAACAAGCTTTCATTTCTTAAAAATATCTCAAATAACAAAAAATAACATGTTCTACTCGCGGGCGCAAAGTTATTACTTTGCACACTTATTTGCGTGCGTCATTTGGTTTCTGGATAAACTAATACCTATTCAAAAAAAAGGGCTTGATGTTATTTTTGTTTCAAAAAAGGCATTCAAGTAATGTCTAGCTTTTTTGATTTGACACTTTCCGTATGAGGAGCGAAGGGAGGAGAAATCCAGCAAAAACAGGTGTGAGGTCGGGTGACCATTGACGTGGGCAGCCACCAAGTTTTATAGTTACATTTTTGAATTTTTATATAATGAATAAATAGGTAGTGATTTCTTTACTCTATTTTTCATTGCATTTTTGACGTGTGTAAGTCCTAAGAGTATAATAACATTCCTTTGGAGTATCAGATCATGAAAGTTAGACAGTAAGTTATACTCCTTCATATATTTCCCAACTTAATAGTCTTGGGGAAAGAATGATTCAGACACCAATGGACAAAGCAAGATTTATGATAATTCAAGCAAAAATAGATAGGATATTTTGGGAAGATGCTGTACTTATTGCTATGTAAAAATAATTTAAAAAGTCACATGGAAAAATATCATCCTGGTAAGTTTAATCTCAAACTTTGGTAGGAAAAACAAATTTTAAGTAAACCTTGCTAGCACAACCACTGTAGCAAGTAAAGTCAAGCTGATCACTGGAAAAAAATACACATTGGACTCACAGAGAAAATTACCAATTTTGAGCATCTGGAAACATTAAGAAGATTAGGTACATCTCCTCTGGATGATAGGCAAATCTTCAAACATTCGTAGAAAAAGTATTGTTCTTAACACTTACTTAAAGTATCTTTCTCGCACTGAAAGCTTATACGAACTCCGCTTCGCATCGTTCGTCTAATTGCTTTTTCGTGCGGAAAAGTATCACTTAGCGCACTTGTTAGGAAAATAACTATTTTTATGTAGGTATGTATTACACACCTTTGAATTCAACTTTAATTTGGTTCTGTGTTTTGTATTATATGGTTACTTATTTCTAGAAAGTCGATTTCTCAGGAAAATATAATTATTTCAGTTATCAACCTATTATCGTTTCAATGAGCAGCCCAAACATTTTTTCATTGGCGGTTCGCAGGCTAATTATACGGAACCTAAGTACCTACCTTATTTTTTGGTAAAAATATATTTTTTGTCCTATATAAAAGTAGAAGCGCGCGAATATGCCATCAAGATGTGTGATTGTAACGGCCTTTGGGCGTGGCACCTCAAAAAATTTTCCGCCTACGGCGGACATCTGGTCTGCCCCCCCCCAGAGCCTCAGTCTGGATACGCCACTGTGCAGATTTATTCCTGATTTCACATTTCACATTTCAACAAAATATAAAATGATACATCGAAAGGTAATAAAAAGTGCAAAAAAAAAAACTATTATAATACTAGAATTGATGGTGCTAAAAATAAAGCCAAAGAAATTTGGAAAATAGTAAATGGCTTGAGGGGCATCAGTAGTAATAATTCTATTGGGGAACTAGAGATCAATGTTAATACCTTTAATGATTTTTATTGCTCAGTTGCGGAAAGGCTGACATCTCAGATTTCATCCGATATCGATCCCATCAGCTACTTGAGGGACATTTCTCTATCACTAATTCCTTTAGTCTATTCCACACTGATATAGATGAAATAAAGAGCATATTCAGACAAATAAAGAATAAAAATTCATCAGGTATTGATAGTATTTCAGTGAGGATATTTGGCAAGTTGCCTGATAGTGTGTTGGAGATTCTTGCAGTTGCAATAAATCTATCTTTTGAAAGGGGTGTTTTCCCTGATAGTCTAAAGGTGGCTCTGGTTAAGCCCCTATTTAAGAGTGGGATTGCTGAGGATCCATCTTCTTATCGCCCTATTTCATCATTCTAGAATGATGGATTTTCTTCAGAAACATAATTTGTTGAATGTTAGCCAATTTGGAT